ACACACACACACCATGTAGAGCCTCAGAAGCTGCAGCTTGGCTGATTAAAGCAGCCTGACATCCATACCCCAGCCTGACCTCCAGGTGCAGAGCCAGTGGGCCTGGGTCTCAGCCTCAGGCACTCTCAGGAAAGCAGTCTGACCTTGGGACACAAACATCCCAGTGCCCCTGCACACCCTCCACCACAACCCACCACCACAACCCTCCACCACCTGGAGGGAAGATCAGTGGAAGCATTCTGGCCTGTGAGCGAGAGACCAGAGGCATTTACACCAACAGCCGACTCCTGCAACTGCAAAGACAATGTTATTGTCACACTTAGCCAGAGGAGGAGAAAAAAATAAAAGAGCAGAGGAGCGTGAGGGGGAAGGGGGTTAAGGGTTTTCAGATGTGAATGAGACGCACACAGATGGAAGACAGACGTCACAGAGAGACAGGAGGAAAATAAGGAAAGGAAAAGTGGGAGAAGACCCTGCAGTGGAGGGAGCAGCACCACCTACAAAGTGATAATAAAGCCCAATTTACATGCTCTTCAGCTACACTTGAGCTGTGAACCTGACACCAGCAGCACTGTCAAAACCAGGCCCCACACTGTGTCTTTATCTTTGTCTGTCGTCTTTGAACACGAGGCAACATATGAGAAGATGGAGTGGACGTGTTAGCTAATCACCAAAGCTGTTCTGTGTGATCTCTTGACCCTCACCGACGGCCTTTGCTTTCCCACAGCATTCCTCTGCCTGAACCCGTGCTATAGACAAAGCAGTGGCTCTATCTTGTGGCTAACTTAGGAACACCACAGCTACAGAGGAATGCATGCCAGAATTCAATCAGGCATTCCTGACTAATGAGGGCAGATGATGTACACATATGCACACGTGTTACAGCACATTCACTTCTGAGAAAAACAGACATAGCATCTCAAAACATCAGAAAATCATCACAGCTTTGCCTTGAAACTTGAATTGGACCTAACAGCTTCACAGGCTCAAAGAAGCCCTGCCCATCACCTGACTAATGGTGAGTGAGACAGATCAAACGCTGCCACATCACAGGGAGGGAATCCGACCAGTTCCTTCCATTTAATCTTATCTAAATGAGAGAGACACATAAAAGGACTCTTGGCCCGGCTAATTTTCTCCATCAGTACGTTAGCCTGTGATCTGAGCGTCTTTAATGGTCTTATCCCAATCAGACGCTGTGGTACTCAGCAGTCTGCTCCCCGCAAAAACCTCCATCCACGCCCTGCATGGCAGGAAGGAGAAGGGCTGCTGACGGTAGCCGTGGCGTCTCGCATCACTTGCAGTGTCAGCTACAGCATCCAATACACAAACACATGCACACATGATGTCGTAACAACACTTTGCTACTAGACTCATTCAAAAAGTTTGATCAAGTCATATAAAATACAGCCAACAGAACAACAGGTGGGTCATTCACTGTCCTGGCAGATACAGTGGGCAGTTAACCTGAGCTGGACTGTGGGAGGAAACCCATGCACTGGCCACACAGAAAAGCCCAGCAGCCACATGTGTTAATAACAGCACGAACTACTGCGTCGCCTAATTGTAATGACATAACTCCACATCCCCGACAGAAAACTGAATTAAATATGGCTACAGCGGGCCTGTACTCTTTCTAAGGAGGTGCCCTCGTGTATATTAAGCTCTCTTTACTACACTTACAGTGCTCTCTTTTTATTATGCTAATGAGTGTATGAAGCCACTGGGCTCTGATTTGCCGTTCCTTGTTAATTGGAATGAAAAACCCAGAGCCATTACCAACATCACTTTGCGGATCCCCTGAAGTCTAGAGAAATATCCCTGAGCATGCTGGGACGGCATGTTGACTTCTAATGCGTTTGTATGTTATCATGGCGGCTGTTTACCCGACGTTTTAATCAAGCTACTCCATTCTAAATGCAAAACACATATATTTATTTTCCAGGCTTTTGGCTGCTGTTCAAATAGGAAAAGAAGCCAAACAATTTAAGAAACAGAGAAGACACTAATGAGCTGCTGAGCTTTCTTCTCTGCTCTGTGGGGGCTACACCTCAGGTTCAACAACAGGGAAAGTGTAAAGAGGAGAGGAACAGAAAGATGGATAGAGAATACGAGAGGTTCCTCATCCTCTCACGCTGTTTTGAAGTATTTCTTTTTGAAAAGTCAGAACGGACAGCTCATGCAGTCTGATGCAAGAACTTGGCAACATCCGTGGCTTTTCAAACAGTGCAGCGGAGCAAATGCGATGGGCAATCAGTCACAAAGCTGTGTGCTTCCAGCTTCACAGCCAGGTTCACTGTTTTCAGCCTGGTAGAAGAACTTTGAAAGAGAATGCTTGGATAAATATCTTATATGCAGCTTCTTCTATATCTGACCAAAAGAATGTTTTTGTGTGTCTTCACGTTTGAGAAGTTAAATCACAACTTGGATCAGGGAAAGAGCTGCTTTTTCACATCCTGCTGTCCGATCATACAAACCCAGAACTCTGCTAAACGTTGTGCATTTCAAGACAGGGTTGCACAAATCTCTGACTGCCATTTCAAAAAGCAACCATGAACTCTTCAGCAACAGAAGAACCTAATGTATGCCTCCACTGAGTGAAGCACACTGTCAATATGCTACACATGCAAATCAGCTTCAGCTTTTCATCTGAAAGGTCATCGTATTCCTCATTGAATTAGATGAGCCTATTTGTTCAGAGGGACTGCAGCCTGGCAGCTTAATGCAAACAATTTGACATCATTGCTCCATCAAATTATTTATAAAGCAGCTTGCCGCTACAGTAAATAAAAATCTCCCTTTTAGAAAGCAGGTGTTTGACAAACATTAGACCCATTCATATGAGACAGCTGTCATCCTGCTTTACTCTGTTAAAAGAGACTGCAGCCCACAGCGCAGCTCCATACACTTGACGAATTACACTGAATTACATCAAATAATCACCAGACTGAAGTTCTGTCTGTCAATATGCTCCTATTCGGTCTTGAAGGAGGTTGGGCTGCTTTGCGCCGATGCGTTCAGACACACTCTGGATGTACGTTTGACCTCTGCTGCTGCTGCGTGAGCCTGAATGAGCTTTTAGTGGCACTGAACACAGTGTGACAGCAGGAACAAACAGCTGGTGTGAGAATCACAGGATCGCACAGTTCACCACATCTCACCACTCAAAGTACCAGACTGAAGCCAAGAGGAAGGAAACTGGATCGCATGAGGAACACAACAAACAAAACAGAATAACTTAAGACTGAAAAACATACTGACAATGATTTTGGTACTATTCAAGAAAATCTACCGTAATGTCTGGACTAGAAGCTCCTACTTCTTTCACACGCTCTGAACGCTGCGGCTTAAACAACGAAGCGGCTAATTTATGGATTTTTATGAATTCACCTGGAGACCAAAGTGAGGCTGAGAGCGACGACGACAGAGAGACTGAGGAAGTGATGAAGTGATTCTGAGGCTGTTCAGCTCCTGAAGACACTGAAGAAGACGACTTTAGTGGTTTTAGTGCAGGAGGAAGATGAAGATAGCCATCAGTGACTTTTCCTGGTAGCTGCTGGAGTTTTATTTCCTTAACCAGCCGTGTTACAGGAAGTGTTCAGAAAAAAGCCTCTACGGTACGTATCTGTGTATGTTACCGCTACGCATTTAATTAAAGGTTCAAACATCTTTCTGTGTAAATATCTCATGTTCCAACGTGGACACCTGCAGCTTAGAGACCAGTGCAGCCTGTATACAGTCGTGACTCGATAATCGACCGTAAACAATCCTAAACCTGCTATCTGACAGGTTTGTAGGAAAAACCAGCAGAACCCATAAAAACAGCCTTAACATAGCGACAGCCTTGGATTGTGACTCCGACATGACATTTAATGTCACCAATCAGGATGACGGCGTATTATCTGACTGAACAATCCCACAGATTGGCTACGTTCACACTGCAGGACTTGATGCTCAATGAGGATTTCTTTGTGACTTCCTTCACGTTTCCACTTCAATGCGACTTGTATGTGATCTGCTGTGTGAACTTCATACGAGCCAAAAGTGTCCCGCATGCGCAGAAGAGGACACGACGACGTCACACGCAGCGAGCGTGCTCAGTGTTTATGGAAGTAAACATGGATGGTAACGGTGGAGCGTATCTGCCACTCCCCCGCCGCCACCGATGGAGGAAACAGAAGTGTGAGCGCTAACTAAACTAGCATCAGCAGCCAAGTACTGCCTGTGTGTTCTGGACACTTCCACCCCGTCAGAGCACTGCCCCGGGGTGGAAGTGTCCCCCGACCGCACAGAATGTTCTGATATTCATCATTAACTGGGCCTGAACATCCAGAGAGCAGAAAGTTCTACTGGGACCAGAACTACTAGTTATTATAACAACTATGAACAATAATGAACAACTAATGAGCCTTCCAGCATCAAGCCCTCCTCGTATCTGGACCTCCGTCTGGACAATCCCACAGCCTTGATATCCCACATAGGAGAAGGTTTTTAGTGTCGGGTTATCCAGTCACGACTGTATTTAAAAACTTGTTTTCTTTTTAAAGTCAATAGGTGCAGCTTATATTCAGGTGTGCTCAAAAGTCCAAATCTTACGGTAAACTCAACAGGCGTAATAGCATCAATAACAATGTGCCCGTACATCACAATGAAAGTCAGAATGACAGGTTGATGCTATCAGTTTTGCAGAATCCTTTTAATTGAGTCTCTGATAGGTTTTCACAATACAAAAAATAAAAGAAGTACCACAAACCAATGCATAATGATCAAAAATTAAAATGAACAAATATTTTAAGAAGGATTCCTGAAACACAGCAACTAATCCAACATAACTATATCAACCCAGTAGAGTCTAATGAACTGTCATTGTGTGTGTGTGTTTATGTTAGAGCACGGCTTCTGTAGTTGTAAAATACCTGTAACGAGCTGCAGTAGGTGTAGAACTGTCCTTCAGCAGCCCCAGAGTCAGACTGTCATCAGCAGGGCCTCCCAGCTCTCCTGTCACCCAGTCAGGCAGACCCACATGGTGGAGCTCCGCAGACCCACCGCTCAGTGGCTCATCAAAGTAGATGGACTAGGAATTAAAATTCACAAGATTAGCCTGGTAGTTGTCAGTTTATGCAATCGAGCGCAATGATACACACCGAGTTGCAACTGCATTGGATTTGAGCTAAAAAATAAGATCTTAACTTCTTACACATGACACACAAAGAAAGGAACACAAACAGTCCAGCCTGGCTGAGAATACAGCCACATGTATCGCCTCCTGAAGCAGTCGCTCTTACCATGTAGGTGGGGAGCGTCTTGAGGCTTCCCGGCTCTGGTTTGGTGGTGAACGGCCCCTCCAGGACCCCTCTTCTGAGCATGTGAAGGAGCAAATGGGCATACATGTTGCGGTTCTTACGACCTATCAGACCAGAACCGCAAGTGGCTGGGTCGCACAGCTTCTTTATCCAGATGGCACAACGCTGGCGCTCTGAGAATATTAGAAGACAGAGGGACAGGGGCTGGTAGGTTACATACAGAAAGACACAAAACCTTTATTCCTCACCGTCTGGCATTAAATGTGACTAAACTGTTCCTGTTTCAGCTCAGTCAGGATCACCAACATTACGTCTATTTAATAAACACCACAATAATGAGAGAGAGATTTTTACTGTTACTTTCTTCAGGGTCAGAAGTTTCCATCCATCTCCTCAGTACCTGCTAGCGTTGCCTTTAAACTCTATGACTTGGGTCAAACGTTCTGGGTTTCCTTCCAAAAGCTTCTCACAACAGTCTGATGAGTTCTGGCCCATTCCTCCTGACAGAACTGGTGGAACTGGGTCAGGTTTGTTGGTCTCCTTGCTCCACT